ACCCTATGCACAACAGAATAAAACACTGCCTGGTCCTGGGCTAACCTCACAATTGTTACCATGCTTAAGCCCACTTTATATTGATTCTCAATTTGATTCTGCCACTTTATATTGATTCCCAATTTGGCCATATGACTTGCTTTGTCTATTGGATTGTTGTTAAGTGCCATAGAGTCAGTTCAGACTCATAGCGACCCTGTGCAGCATTCCAAAGAGCACCTGGTGCGTTTGGACTGCTGACCTTGTGGATTGCAGTCCAGTGGTAATCCTGTAGCACCACACCAGGAGTCCTTGTCTATGGGGTATTAGCTAGCAAATGTAAGCAGAAGCTTGATGATCATTTGCACATTGAGACTTGTCTTCTTGGAAACCCCAACATCTTTAAACAAACCTTGGCTAGACTACTGAATAATAAAAGGCCTCATAGGAAGAGGGCCTTGAGGATGAGAGTCCACCTTAGATGTTCCAGTTCAGCCTAGCTCCTGGCTGATTGTAGCCACTTGAGTGACCTCAGCTGTACCATCTGGAGTAGAATTGCCCAGATTAAGCAAGTCAAACCACACACTAATGGTAAGCAATAAATAATTGCTGTTTTACATCACTACTCTTGGGGGAAGGAGCTCTGGTAGCATAGTGGTTAAGAGTCGGTGGGGCTGCTAACCTCAAGGCCAGCAGTTCGAAACTGCCAGCTGTTGTGCAGGAGAAAGATGAGGCTTTCTGCTCCTGTAAAGATTTACAGGGTCGCTATGAGTCTCCACAGCACATAACCACTACCACCACTACTCTTTGAGGGTAGTTTGTTACTTAGCAAAAGATAATGAAAATAAAAGCTGTCGACAGAGATAGCCTCTTAGGAGGCTGGGCTGTGATTGACATTTTTGGATGCTTCTTCCAGGCAGAAACCTAATCTATTTGAACTAACCCTAGGCAAAATGAGAGGTACAGGGTGTCCAATTCACAGCTCCCAGCATCCCTGGTCCTTTGATTTCCATCCTATTCTAGTTTTCCCAGAGCCTCAGGCTCTCTCTTCCTATTTCCAGCAAAACAATTCTCAGATCTTTCTTTCACACTATGGTGTAGTTGATAGCTTAAATTGGAAAGAAAACTTCCAGCTAAAATATTTAAATGTAAAAGGCGGAATCCAGGCATCAGTCATTCTCACCTCCAAACTTCCTTTTTGACTTGTCTCAGATCAGGCTCCCTCTGTCCTGAATGTTCTATTCACTCATCAGCAACTATGTGGAAAGTATATACCAGACTGAAACCATGACCGTGATTGGACCCTGCCACTTGCAAGTTATAAGACCTTGGCCGTGTAAATTACCTTCTTTGAGTCTCAGTTTCTGCAATCGTAAAATGGGAATAATAAATTCTACCTTATGGAGTGATTTTATTAAATGAGGTGAGGCAGGTAGACTCAATCGGTGGTAACCATCATTATTATCACAATGTACCAGGCTAAGAACTGGGGATAGAAAGGTGGAAAAAAATCACATCAGGATTTAGTGGTCAAGGGATTCAGAGTTCATGGCCATCTGTCCATCTTATCTTAATCTTTCTCAAACTACTTTTCCACTCTAAATGCAGTCTGCTCCTTCACCTCTAAACTCAGGTTTTCCCCTCAGTATAGCATGATTTTTTTTACCATTCTCTACCCATTGAAGTCAAATTTATTCACAACACAAGCCCGTTTGCTACCTTCTTACGGAAGATTTCCCAATCTCACCAGGTCCTAGTGAGTTACTCCTGGCCCAATATGCTTTTGTATCCTTATACAGCATATATTTCATTATGTGTTATATTCTAACTAATGTATTCCCAGCAGCAGTACTAAACCCTTCCTGGGCAGGAGCTGAGTCTTCTTTCAATTTTCTGCTCCCTCCATCCTTAGAAATTAAAATCAAACAAACAAATATATCTGCCAATTGTTGTTGTTAAGTGCCTTTGAGTCTGTTCAAACTCATGTTGTTGTTGTTGTTGTTAAGGTGCCATTGAGTCAGTATAGGGTTTCCAAAGAGTGGTGGTGGGTTTGAACCACTGGCCTTGTGGTTAGCAGTCCAGTGCTTATCCTACAGTTCCACACCAATATCAGTATCTGTGCAAAAATTGTTCTAAGCTCTTTGTACTAGATAAATTAATCCTCTCAACTATCTTTCCATTATTCCCATTTTGTTCTTGTAGTCAGCCTCTGACTCATGGAGACCTCACACACAACAGAATGAAACGCTGTCCCATCCTGTGCCATCCCCACTGTCAGGCTTTTGCGATCTATAGGGTTCTTATCAATTGTTTCTTGGCAGTAGATCACCAGGCTTTTCTTGCTAATCTGCCATAGAAGTTCCACTGAAATCTGTTCAGCATCATAGCAACACTTAAGCCTCCACTGGCAGATGGGTGGTTTCTGAACACGAGGGTCATTGACTGGGAATGTACTTTACATCCCCATTTTACAAATGATCACAGAGCTACTTAGCAACTAGCTGATCAGGATTTGAGCCCAATTTAGTTCTAGAGTTTGTGTTCTTATAAGGAAAAGTATGCTTTGGCATAGAAATTTGAACTAATTAGAGATTCAGTTACCACTGTGGACTCTAGACTATGGTTAAGTTGACCTACAGTCAATTGATTATTGTGGTTTGATTATTCAGCAGAACCAATGTTTATTGAGCATCTACTATAAGATGTGTGTGTGTGTGTGTGTGTATTAGGAGTCCAGGAGTGGAGCTGTGGGTCAGTGTGTTGGACAGCAAGGTTGGCAGTTCAAGTTCACCAGTAGCTCCTTGGAAACCCTATAGAAGGTCATTATGAGTCAGAACCAACTCAATGGCACTTAACAACAACAACTATGGGATAAACACTCAACTGTAATGTGGGTTTGAACCACGAGGTTGGCAGTTCAAATCCACCAGCCACTCATCAGAAACCCTATACAGGGTCATTATGAGTCAGAACCACTCCACGGCACTTAACAATAACTATATTCACCAAAAACATAGTGGTGTAGTGGTCAAGGTCAAGGATTACAGAGCTGGGTTGCCTGACTCCACCATTTGCCAGCCATGTAACTTTGGGCAAGTTACTCAACCTCTGTGTGCTTCAGTATCATCTCCTCAGTCTTGGTGTGGCACTGTAGGGTAGGCCCTGGACTGCTAACAGCAAAGTCTAAAAGGTCGGATGTTTAAACCCATCAGCTGCTCCTTGCAAACCCTATACAGGGTCATTATGAGTTGGAACTGACTTGATGGCACTTAACAACAACAAAAAAATGGGGAAAACAAGAATAATTGCTTTGTTGAGTTATGGTGAGAATCTAAAGGAGTTAGTATTTGTAAGGATTTAGAACACAATAAACCTTGTGTTTTATGCCTTCAGGTTGATTGATTCTGACTCACAATGACACTAGGACAGAGTAGAATTACACCACAGGATCTCCTAGGCTGTAATCTTTATGTGGGAGTCCTGGTGTGGCACTGTGGGTTAATGCACTAGACTACAATGTTGGTTTGAACTGTAAGATCAGTGGTTCAAGCTCACCAGTTGTTCCTTGGAAACCCTATATAGGGTCACTATGGGGCATTTAACAACAGCAATCTTCATGGGAGCAGATCTCTAGATCTTTTCTCCCTCAGAGTGGCTGGTGGGTTCAAACCGCTGATTTTTCAGTTAGCAGTCAAGTGCTTAACTTTTGTGCCACCAGGGCTCCTAAGCATTGTATAAGTGTTAGTTTTCTCTTACACACTAACTGGCCTCAGTTGATTACCAGAGGAATAGAAGACAGTTTCTTACCTCCAGGGACTGACATTCTGTATAAACTCAGATATCATAAAACAGACAATTCTATATCTGCAAGGTGGTTCCTAGTATGGGGGTCACTACAGAGGGAGTACCCCCTCCTCAGGTCTGGGTGGGTTTTTTAAGGATGCTAGATCTTAAGAGGGAAGGGAATAGGTACTGACCAGGGAAAAAGGGTCAGGAATGGTAAAGGTCTTCCAGGCCTATGAAAGAACTTGCAGAAAGCTTGTTGTTGCTAAGTGCTATAGAGTTAGTGAGTTGGTTCCAACTCATAGGGACCCTTCATAGGGTTTTCGAGGAGCGGCTGGTGGATTTGATCCACAAACCGACCTTGCAGTTCAAACTGACCTTGCAGTCCAGTGTTTATCCTATAGCACCACGCCAGGACTCCTGCAAAAAGCTTGTTGTTGTTGTTAAGTGTCATCAAGTTGGTTCCAATTGACAGCAACCCTGTATAGAGTTTCCAAAGAGTGGTTGGTGGATTTGAACTGCCAACGTTACAGTTCAAACTGACTTTGTGGTCAAGAGCTTATCTTACAGTGCCACACCAGGACTCTGGTGCAAAAAGCTAAGAGGCCAGAAATGTCAAGGTGTTTGGTTTCTAGGTTCTGTCTTTGAATTCCTGTGTTGTTGTTTTTTCTGCAATTGCCAATCTCTCCAACTCCTGTCCCTTCTATGGAAGTAACTTTCTCTTATTCATCTATCTTCTATTCACTTTTTTGAGCCTGCTCAGATATGGTAACTTGAGATATCAAGGCAAAGTGGAGAGGTATTGTAATCGCAGTGTTTTACTTTCCCCCCTTTTATCCAAATGAGGCATCTGAGGAGTTGGGTGGGGTAGGGTAATGTCAGAGTGGGGAGAGGCTGAACTCTAGGACCAGAGAAAGGATGAACTACTCAGCTACAGTTGGGTCCCTAGGTCCAAGGCCCAGGAAGTAGATGGGCTCAACCACAATCTGCAAGTTTATGGAGCCTGCAGAGACAAGAGCCAGGTATTCTCAGAAGAATGAAAATTAACTAATTTTCTATCTAACCATTGATCTGGCTACTAAGGAGAGCCTGGGGAGTGGGAGGGAGCCTGGGGTTAGGAGATTACAGTCTGTGGGAAGCAGGGAATAGGGGAGATAGTTGGAGGTTAGGTTGATGAGTAAATTTTTCCTTCCCTTGAGAGGTCAGGTTTTGGGGAAGATTGAAAACCAGGAACCCACCTGTCTCAGCAAAGCTGATGATCTCATATTCCTGTGCCCTGTTAGCCTCTGGAAGTGCCCCCTGTAGGGGCCCATGGAGGCACTGCAGTGCCGTCCTCAGAGCAGCTCTGGACACGGGTCGGGTCAGAGTTGGGCGCTGGCTGAGGTGCAACTTGTCCAAGATGCTTTTCTTAGCAAGGTCAAGAAGCAGCTCCCGTTGGCTCCTCAGGTCCAAGGTATGCCCCTCACATGCTGGACACTGACTGTCAGCTCTGGTAGTGGTCACTGTGGCCAGCCCCAGGAACAGGAAGACCAGGAGTAGTGAAGTCATTGCTCCTTGAGTGATACAGTCCCAGAAAAGAGCTGCGAATCTGGGACTCAGGGTCTCAACAGCTGTGGGGCTCCTGCCTTAACTGCCAGGGACTCCGGAAGGGGTGTATGTCTAGCTGGCATGACTCTGTATTGCAGGGGATAGGGCAGCCAAACATTTGACTTGAGAAATGAAGTCAGGTCCAGGTAGAACCTGGCAGCAGCTGCCAACACATAATCAGGGAAAGTACAAAGTGGGGGATGTGACAGGAGGTTGGTTTGTTTGGGGAAAGAAATGTCCCTTGGCCAATTGAGACAGTTGTTACCCATGTGAGCTACCAGACCCAGGGACAAAGGTTAGAGCTGAAATTTAGCCTCCGACTGTCTGTAACATTGGGACACTGGGGAAAAAGGGACGTCTTTAAGACAGAACATTAAAAGGTGACTTTCAAACAAGAGTATATTGAAAGGATATAACCCTCATGTACACCTTTTCTGATCTTTTTTTTTTTTTAATGTTTTATTGTGAATTATGTGATAGTTTACATGGGAGAACATTGGTTTTACATTCATTCTATTGTATATCTTATCATTGCCATGGTTACAATCCCCTCCATGCCCCCCCCCCCCCATGCCCCCCAGGTCTTCAGCACACAGTCGCTCTCCCTCTCTGGATCTAAAGTCTCCAGCTGCTCCATCGCTCTACGTCATCATCTCTGGCTCCATTTCAGGCATCACTACTTCTCTGGGTAGGGTCCCGCTCTCTGCTCTTCTCCCTTGATGGTCCTAGGGACCTCCGCTCCTAGACTGAAAAGTTAATCACTCCCCTCCTTGCTATAAAACGTCTACCTTTACATTTCCAACCCTCACAATCAGTCCTGATAACAATTATTCACTATTGTATCACAAGAGATCCGTCTGCATTTCATTGCATCAGCCCACCTTTTCTGATCTTAACATGCATTATTTCCCTTATTTGGTTTGAAAGCCTACATCTTGGTCTGTGTACAGATTCTGCATGAGCACAATTAAGTGTTCTGGAGTTTCCATTCTTTACACTGTTATCCATTATTTGTTTGGTCCACACAGTTGAATGCTTTGGCATAGTCAATAAAACACAAGTAAACACCTTTGTGGTATTCTCTGCTTTCAGTCAAAATCTATCTGACACCCTTTGTTTCATACCCTCTTCTGAATCTGACTTGAATTTCTGGAAGTTCCTTATTAATGTGCAACTGCATCTTTTGAATTATCTTCAGGAAAAATGTACTTATATGCGGTATTACTGATATTGTTAGATAACTTCTACATTCTGTTCGTTTGTCTTTCTTTGAAATTGGGCACAAGTATGGATCTCTTCCAGTTGGTTGACCAAGTAGCTGTCTTGCAAAATTCTTGGCATATACTAGTGAACATTTTTAGCATTGCATTCATTTGTTGAAACACCTCAATTGATAATGTTGTCAATTCTTGGAGCCTGTGCCCCTCCCTGCCTCATGTCTTCAAAGCACGGATCACGACTAGTTTATCAGTTTGTTGTAATATGGTGGCTTGTGTGTTGGGGTGATGCTGGAAGCTATGCTATGGGTATTTTAAATACCATCAAGGTCACCCATGGTGGACAGGTTTCAACTGAGCCTCCAGACTTCCAACAACGACCGACCTCTGAAATGTTGTTGTTGTTAGATGCCATCAAGTCAGCTCTGACTCACAGTGACCCTATGCACAACAGAACAAAACACTGTCCAGTCCTATGCTATCTTTACAATTGTTACACCGGAGCCCATTACTGCTGGCACTGTGACAATCCAGCTCATTGGGGGTCTTCCTCTTTTTCGCTGACCCTCCACTTTACTAAGCATGATGTCCTTCTCCAGGGACTGGTCCCTCCTGATAATATGTCCAAAGTATGAGAGACAAAGTCTGGCCACCCTGGATTCTAAGGAGTGGGCTGGCTGTATTTCTTCCAACACAGATTTGTTTGTTCTTCTGGCAGTCCATGGTACTCTCAATATTCCTCTTCAATACCATAACTCAAATGCATCAAGTCTTCTCTGGTCTTCCTTATTCATTGTCCAGCTTTCAAATGCATACGAGGCTATTGAAAAGACCTTGGCTTGGGTTAGGCACACCTTAATCCTCAAACTGACATCTTTGCTCTTGAATACTTACTTTAAAGAGGTCTTGCATCAGATTTGCCTAATGCAATAAATACATCCTTTGATTTCTTGACTGTTGCTCCCATGAGTGTTGATTGTGGATCCAAGTTAAAAGAAGTCTTTGACAACTTAATTTTTTCCCCCTCCATTTATCATGATGTTTTTTATTGCTCCAGTATTTTGAGGAATTTTTTTTTCTTTACATTGAGGTGCAACCCATATTGAAAGCTGTCGTCTTTGATCTTTATTAGTGTTTATTTCAAATCTTCTTTGCTTTATCATCTATATATCTTCTTCCAATCCTGATACCATGTTCTTTATCACATAATTCAGCTTCTTAGGTTACTTGCTCAGCATATAGACTGAATAAGTATGGTGAAAGAATACAACCCTGGATCACACCTTTCCTGATTTTAAGCCATTCAGTGTCCGCTTGTTCTGTTCAAACGACTGCATCTTGGTCTATGTACACGTTCTTCATGAACAAAATTAAGTGTTTCAGAATACCCATTCTATGCAATGTTATCCATAGCTTGTCATGATCCACACAGTCAAAAGCCTTTGTATAGTCAATAAAGCACAGGTAAGCAAGCATCTTTCTGGTATTCGCTATGATGAGGTTTGCTATGAGTAGCCAGTCAATTCAAAGGACGTTTTCTTGTGGCTACTGCCTGCTTGCAATATATATTGGACATTCAGGAATGACTTGCTTGCTCTCTGCTGGGTCCGGATCTTGCATCTGGCTTATCCTTTGACCTCTCATTCTTTGAACATGAGTGAGTGACCTGCTCTATTATCTACAGATCCAGGGAGTCATCATCAGCCTGTCTTCTTACCTTCCAGACCTACAGAACCTGTTAGACCTACTAGACCTGCCTGCATGCATGCTGTCTGACCTGTCCATCTGGGTTTATCAGCCCTGCAGTTTTACTTGAGTTAGAAGCCTCCAAGCTGACATCTGGGGCTTGCTCACCTCTACAATTGTGTGAGTTCTTTTCTTGTTACAAACCTCTCTTTATAAGTTTATAAGTTTCACTGTGAAACTTTATTAGTTTCACTGGTTTTGCTTTTCTAGAGAACCCAACTGTTTTCAAGAGAAGTAAGACCAGTGAAACATATATGTTGTTCTTAAGAGCCGTAGAGTTGATTCCTACTCATAGCAACCCTGTATAGGGTTTCCGAAGAGAAGTTTATTATCTTACAGTTGTAGAGTCCCAGGCCCCCTATAGAAGAGAGAGAGAGAGAAAGAGAGAGAGAGAGTCACACATGTTCATTATATTGGGAGCAGGCTACACCCCTAAGGAAGCATCCCTTTAATTGATTGGCTGCTCATAGCCACTCATCATAGAGTTAACTGTCTATTTTAGGTTTCATCACCATTGGAATAAGCACATCCCAACTGCTAACCCTCTGGAAATCCTGGCATAGTCAAGCTGACACAGAACCCTAACTCTTACAATCCACCCGTATCAACTCTAAACTTATAAACTATATGCATAATCTCTAAATAAAGAAAAGTCATACTTGTGCCTCACATGATATAACTAAAACACGTGCAACTGAAAATGCACTGGACCCATTTTCATCTCAGATTTCACAAAACAAAAAAAGTAGTTGATATACACATGAAAAACATAACAAAATATATATATATTGATTCAGAAGTCTAAAGGGCACATTCTACAAGCCAGCCTCCTGTCCATAGGCACGTAGCCTTACTCAGTTCATGGGCCTAGAGGCCATAACTGCTCTGTCTTTCCATGTTACTGCCACTGTCTCTGCTATCACCCCTTTTTCCAGGCAGTGATCCCAAACTCCACTCATGTTTTTCCTTATTGACGGCCCTGGGATCTTATGTTCCTGAAATGAAACAACTACTCCCCCTTTTAGTTATACATCTTCTACAATTACAGTTTGACAATAACAATTAATCCTAACAATTACTCACAATTGAAATCATAAAATCCTATCAGCATCATTCCCTAACCCCTTTCACCAGACCCATCTGGAAAAGAGGAGAACAATTCAGTGGGAATTCTACCTTATCTCCTCATTCTAAAACTAAGCACACCTAAGAAAGCTTGTAAGTCAGCTACTTCATACTTTTTTGATAGTCAATGTCTAAATTGCCTGTTGCTGCTAATCTCAAGGTCAACAATTCGAAACTATCAGCTATTCCTTGGGAAAAAGATGAGGTTTTCTGCTCCCATAAAGATTTACAGCCTTGGAAACACTATACAGGGTCAGAACCAACTTCACAGCACATCACTACCACCACCACCATCAACCCAGTATGCTGAGGAGACAAGAATGTTCCTTGATATGAAGAATCTTCCATTCTGATTGGAATTTTGAGCAACTGCATTCATAAAAAAAAAGTCTAGTCCAGCAAATTGTAGCAATTGACACTTGGTCAGAGTATCAAACATCTTTATCTGATCAGGTTCTGGTCAGCTTAATCCTAGCCATGCAAGTTAGGTCAACTGTGTACCAGCTGCAAGTTTGGGAGTTCACACACACCTCCCTGTACTTCAAATCAGCTGCTCCTTCACTCTTAGCAATAGTCCCCATGGGCTAGGTCAGTGCCCTTGGGCTCAGGAGTTCACACTACTCTCTAAACTTCAAACCAGCCAGCCTTCCCTCTCCTCTTATCTCAAGGTCAACAGGTATCAATAGAACATGTCCAAATTCAACCCATGTCTTCATTGCTGCATTTCCTCCAATTCCACTTACAAGCAGATTCAGGTGGCAGCAGAGAGCATATAGCTTACTAGTTCCCATCAACTTTCAGAATAAGGTTTTCTCTGATGGACCGACTGTGCTTGCCTTGATGCCTCCAAACTCAAACTGCTAAACTGTCTGC